ATATTTTCCAACTTTAATCTTGGACATTGCAGGTGTTTAGACTGCACTGAGACGAAGTGCATAACGCTTTTTCACCTTTGATAGATGAAATTAGGTACTGACATGCATTGCGGTGCTTGGCTGGACAGTGTCTTTCAAGGCAGTCATTTGAAGAGTTTGAACTTGCGCAGCAGTGGATGGACAGTCTCTTTAGGACATGGCTTCAGAGCCAAGCAGGTGGGGATGTTTTCTGGTTGTTCGATCCAAAGCTTGTGGGCCACACCGGCCTGTGTTAGAGTCTCTGATAGGCCGGAGAGGGCGGCCTCGTCTGGGGCCTGGAGAAAAACAGATACATACATTTACAGTAGTCCAAGACTGAGCCACAGATCCCACATTACTTCACATTTCATTCAAGTGCTCCATGTGAGAAAAAAGATATTTGCTGTGGATTTAATACTAAACTGTAAATCTGCATAAAACACATGCAGTGATTGAATTTAAATCATCTAAATGCATGGCTGGGATCTTTTACAGAGGGAGCCTCATCTGATATATGACATTCATATAAGTAACGTTATGATAATCAAGATTGTTATTATTTAGTTGCCTTATATTTACATACTTAAATCTTGCTTTGAAGAAATAGCATACAAGAAACCACCATACTCCATTAGAAATTCTGTCATTTCATACATTGTTAGCTTGTGAGCACAAACTTATACCAGCTAGAAAACCATTCAACACCTTAATATATTTTTAGGGGGTCACTTTTAAATTCGGCATCCATATTACACATCAGACATAAAGTTTGTAATAGTAAAATCAGTTTTTTAATCGCTTTAACGCTGCTTCTTTAAACACGTGTTAGCCAAAGTGGCTAGATAAAGTGAAGAGGGGAAGCTCGTGCAAACGGCTTAAATATGAACCTTTTATAAACGTATTAATGCCGAATAAAACAGTTTGCCTTATAATTTTGTATTATGTTTCATGTAATACACGACATAAGCGCTAAACTGACTAAAATATTCAAAATGACAAATATTTGAATGGAGTTTGGCGTGACGTGTGGAGCTTACCCCCAGCACCACTTTATGCATGGAGTCCAGCTCGGCCAGGTACCGCTGAGTGTCCGGGTCTTCGTAGTGAAGGTGGATGGCGGCGGTCGCGGCATGACAGGCCTGAGTTATAACGGCTCCCAGGGGCCAGGACAGCTTGTGAACCAGATCCGACCGGACAATAACATACTGGACCAACCGGCTGGGAGACCCGGCTCCCGTAGCTGCCATTTTTACTCCAACCCGGACAGGAAGCGAATCAAGGTTTGTTGATTTTCCGGTTCAGCTGATGTGGAGTTGATTACTAAACGTTAACACAACGCTACTGCACCCTGCTGGTCAGTTTGAAAACTGCAGTCTGCCTGCCTTAGCTACCAGCAAATAATTTTTATTCTGTGAAAACGTTTGGGAAATAAAAACAAAATAAATAAATGATTAAAAATAAATAATAAAAAATAAAAATTCTGTTCCAGCTCCTCCTCTTCATAAATAGTTTGCAAGATAAATCTGCAATTTAGAAAAAAAAGACAAACACAATTAGGACATAAAACAAGCCATTTACTTTTTTTATTAAATAGCTAGGCAAAGCACACTGTGCCACTGTTTTCATCTGCTCCTCTTCCTTGCCTGGTTCTTTATCATCACCTATTCTGAGTTGTTTTTTTTTTTTTTCAAACTAGACTACTTTTGGTTCGGTATTTTTCATTCTAAAGACACCGATGCATTAAATACAATATCACAATATGCATGAATGACAACAGCATTTTGAGGTACTCAGTCCTTGCACACTGTATACATAATGACCCTTCACTGTCTCATCTCGTGGGCCTATTGTGTATTTTCAGCTGTTTTGAATAAGACAGTTCAGTCTGGGTTCGAAACAATACATTTTATATTCCATGTATAGTTTTCCAGTAGCCCAAACTACCACTGCCAAATTAAAAACGATAAAGGTGTGAACTATCTTGTTTTTTGTCAAACCTGTGGTAAAGACAGTGACTGATGACCAAGTGGCTCTTTAATGCATACTAAGACATCTGGGAGAAACGCTATCAATGCAATCAACCTGGGAAGAGATTCACTCACCAAAATAATTAGGAAGAGGTTGTTCGTCATTCTGCCTGTATCGTAGTATGCTATTATACAGACAGCAGTTACAGCTCAGGCTGAGGAAGTATGGAAGTTCATTAATGATGAAACATTTACAGTACAGGCCAAAAGTTTGGACACACCTTCTCATTCAATGCATTTTCTTTATTTTCATGACTATTTACATTGTAGATTCTCACTGAAGGCATCAAAACTATGAATGAACACATGTGGAGTTATGTACTTAACAAAAAAAGGTGAAATAACTGAAAACATGTTTTATATTCTAGTTTCTTCAAAATAGCCACCCTTTGCTCTGATTACTGCTTTGCACACTCTTGGCATTCTCTCCATGAGCTTCAAGAGGTAGTCACCTGAAATGGTTTTCCAACAGTCTTGAAGGAGTTCCCAGCGGTGTTTAGCACTTGTTGGCCCCTTTGCCTTCACTCTGCGGTCCAGCTCACCCCAAACCATCTCAATTGGGTTCAGGTCCGGTGACTGTGGAGGCCAGGTCATCTGCCGCAGCACTCCATCACTCTCCTTCTTGGTCAAATAGCCCTTACACAGCCTGGAGGTGTGTTTGGGGTCATTGTCCTGTTGAAAAATAACTGATCGTCCAACTAAACGCAAACCGGATGGGATGGCATGTCGCTGCAGGATGCTGTGGTAGCCATGCTGGTTCAGTGTGCCTTCAATTTTGAATAAATCCCCAACAGTGTCACCAGCAAAACACCCCCACACCATCACACCTCCTCCTCCATGCTTCACAGTGGGAACCAGGCATGTGGAATCCATCCGTTCACCTTTTCTGCGTCTCACAAAGACACGGCGGTTGGAACCAAAGATCTCAAATTTGGACTCATCAGACCAAAGCACAGATTTCCACTGGTCTAATGTCCATTCCTTGTGTTTCTTGGCCCAAACAAATCTCTTCTGCTTGTTGCCTCTCCTTAGCAGTGGTTTCCTAGCAGCTATTTGACCATGAAGGCCTGATTCGCGCAGTCTCCTCTTAACAGTTGTTCTAGAGATGGGTCTGCTGCTAGAACTCTGTGTGGCATTCATCTGGTCTCTGATCTGAGCTGCTGTTAACTTGCCATTTCTGAGGCTGGTGACTCGGATGAACTTATCCTCAGAAGCAGAGGTGACTCTTGGTCTTCCTTTCCTGGGTCGGTCCTCATGTGTGCCAGTTTCGTTGTAGCGCTTGATGGTTTTTGCGACTCCACTTGGGGACACATTTAAAGTTTTTGCAATTTTCTGGACTGACTGACCTTCATTTCTTAAAGTAATGATGGCCACTGGTTTTTCTTTAGTTAGCTGATTGGTTCTTGCCATAATATGAATTTTAACAGTTGTCCAATAGGGCTGTCGGCTGTGTATTAACCTGACTTCTGCACAACACAACTGATGGTCCCAACCCCATTGATAAAGCAAGAAATTCCACTAATTAACCCTGATAAGGCACACCTGTGAAGTGGAAACCATTTCAGGTGACTACCTCTTGAAGCTCATGGAGAGAATGCCAAGAGTGTGCAAAGCAGTAATCAGAGCAAAGGGTGGCTATTTTGAAGAAACTAGAATATAAAACATGTTTTCAGTTATTTCACCTTTTTTTGTTAAGTACATAACTCCACATGTGTTCATTCATAGTTTTGATGCCTTCAGTGAGAATCTACAATGTAAATAGTCATGAAAATAAAGAAAACGCATTGAATGAGAAGGTGTGTCCAAACTTTTGGCCTGTACTGTACGTGTGTAAAAAGTTAAACTATTTCTGTGTCTCATCAGCTGTTTTTATTTGTCTGGAATACTTTAACTGTATCCTGCTTGTGAGCACTTTCTCACATTCTCAGCTTACTCTGAGAAAATATTGAGAAAAAGACTTGTAACTGGCCACGTATTGAACATTTTAAACTTGTTCTGCATCAAGTTTGTGGTTCAAGTTTTTTATTGTCATATGCACAGCAGTAACAGTGAAGCAGTTGTTGGTGATATTCTAAGTTTTCAGGCTCCCTCAAATAATCCTCATCCATCCATTTTCAACCTCATATCTCGTGAGGGCAGCAGGCCAAGCAAAGTACTCCAGACGTCCCTCTCCCCAGCAATGCTTTCTAGCTTGTCCAGGGGACCCTAAGGTGTTCCCAGGCCAGATATAAGTAATGCCTCCAATGTTTTCTGGGTCTGCCCCGGGGCCTCCTACCAGTGGGACATGTCCAGGACACCTCTAAAGGGAGGCGCCAAGGAGGCATCGTGATCAGATGCCTGAGCCACCTCAACTGGTCCCTTTCGACATGACAGAGCAGCGGCTCTACTCTGAGCTCCCTCCGGATGTCCGAGCTCCTTACCCTATCTCTAAGGCTGAGCCCAGCCACCCCATGGAGGAAACTCATTTTGGCTGCTTGTATCCACAATCTCATTCTTTCGGTCACTACCCAGAGCTCATGACCATAGGTGAGGGTTGGGACGTAGATGGACCAGTAAATCGAAAGCTTTGCCTTCCAGCTCAGCTCCATTTTCACCATACGGTCCGGCACAGTGCTCGCATCACTGCAAATGTGGTCATGTTCACGAGTGAAGGTAGAATGGCGTCATACAAATATCTTAAAAAAAAAAATCGCGTAAGTAAAATCTAATTAGAATCGAAGACATAAAGACATAACCTAGTGCAATGGTTAAAAAACAGAAATAAAATACATTATATAATACTGTGGTAGGCAGGTGTAATAGTTAAATTTATAAACTGTAATGTAATATATGTATTTTTGTCATCAATGAACCTCCATATATAATTTTGCATCACTTACAAAGCAACGTCTCTGTGACATTAAATGAAATGTAAACCTCTGATTTACTCAAATAACTGACAAACAAACCAGTAAATGTCACAATAATTATTTATTAAGCATACACATTATAATATAAATATAAAATATGCTATTTTTGTTTTTAAAATTGGTGAGACATCATTATATCTGTGTTGAGACAGACAACCATACAAACAGGTTTTAATATTCTACCAAAATCTGCTGAAACTTCTATGCAGCTGTAACAAACTTGCCATGATGGTGCCGTCCTAAAATCAGAGCCTGTATTCATGGAGCATATCAGAGCAGTGTAACTGATCTAGGATCAGGTCCATGTAAATGTCACCATAAATGAGGAGGCAAACTGGTCTTAGATCAGCGCTCCTAGTCTAAGATGCTGTATGCAGTGGGCCCACGTACAGAGAGAGCACAATAACCTACCGTATATTTCTTTATATATATATTTCTTACTGTAGTCCAACAATGGCAATTAGCAGCATGATAATGCACCACTCATTTTTTTCTAGTTCCGAGAAACTGCAAAATAAGTTAGGAAGTAAATAAATAAAATTAACATCAAACATACTGATGATCATTGTCACTGTACTAAGAGAGAAACTCGTCCACAGTGAAACAATCAGAGATAATCAAACAATCAAATCAGATCAGAGTGATGACATTTGACGGTCAGGGTTCGGATTCAATTCAGTTTCACCTCAGTCAACAACAGGAAGTGGATAATCATTACATTTTTTAAATTTATTTATTTTTTAACCAAAGTGAATGACATCGAGTTCTCTGTGAGAATCAATTCTCAAACCAATAATTACAGTCTCAGTTGGCCGAACTCAAAGTGAACTGATCCCCGAACCGATCAATGACAATAAAGAACAAATAGTTTTAACAATTTTTTCTCTTTTTTCTGTGTTTTTTCTTCATTTTTTTAAGTTTGGTTGACATGCTGAATCCTTGTGTTTGCAGGTTTGTGGTCAATCAAAAGGAGAAGTATTGAGCGAACCACTCCTGGCGCTGGGCGTCCGGGGAGTCGATGGCAGAGTCCTTCGTTTCAGGAGGGCTTCAGGACGGAGAGCGCAAACAGGAGAAAAAAAATAAAATAAAAAAAATAAAAAATCACCACAACAAAAATAAAGACAGAAAGAGACAAGTCAGGGAAGAAGCCAGAGGTTGATTCAGTAGTCTTACACCTGACTGAATGGTAGGAGCAAGGCTGAAACATACTTAAGCTTACCAGGCATAAAACCTACTATAAGCTGATCATTTTTTGCAATTAAGGCGTCTGTTGTTCTACTATCACTAGCTACAGTCTTTAACACTAATCTGAAAGGTTAAAAGATGATTTAAATGAAGGTGCAATACACTTTTTGTCCACAAGATGGCAGCAAAGTCATTGTCAAGATCCAGGGAGAGAGTAGAGTAGGGACACACTGCTGTGCTGTGTCCCCAATTCCATACATTACAGCTATATACAGTATGCACTTATTCTGTCATAATAAACAGTTTTTGCAGTTAGTACACAAAACAAAAGTAAACTGTGTATTTTTTTTTTTTTGACTAAATAAAATTAGTTCAAGTTTTATACAATGCACTGAGTACTTTTACTTTTAATACTCTCATACCTACTGACATTTTCCATATTAAATGTTCATACATTTACTTTTTTCACTTATAATAGAGTATTTTTACAGCACATCATTAGTACTTTTACTTAAGTTAAAGATCTGAATACTTCCTGCACCAACCTTGGCATGTAATAGGCCTAACAATGTTTTAGCATAAAAAAGAAACTGCGTGTGTACATCTAATACATTATCTTACTGCACGACCTCGATCAAACCTCATAAACTATTTGAAGTATAGTGGGGGGTTTTTTACAGTAAAATGTCAATCACCAGTGGTATCTGCACAACCAGACGAAGCTGTTGCTCCTTCCTGACTCATGTCCTTAGGGGGAAAACATGTTGTTCTTTAAAGTTTGAACTAATTAGGCTGAGTGTTTGCATCTATCAAAACAAACACCTATTGGAGCTTCTTCTGCTTTCTTAATTGGCTTCTTCCTAAACAAACAGTCCCATAACCCCAGGGTAATATTTAAATTTTGGGGCGGTGGGGGCGGGGGTCATTTTTTTTTGTTGTTGTTTCCTAAGCTTGAAGGCCTCAATTACTTTCCATAAAGCTTCTCTTGTGTTTGTGCAGCATGATGAATCGTGTTTATACTGTACATGGTCCCAAATTCAGAATCAAAGGGTTCTGTCTTCAGTTCATAAAAGATTAATTGTAATATATACAGTCATTTCCATACAACAATAGCCATTTTTGCCACTGTAGCATTTTATCCACTAGAAAATAGCATTAGCGAAATCTCTCTCAATGATAATATCTTTCTGTCTTTTAATGCCGACAACAGGAGGTGGTCAAATCTGAATGTTTGAGCAAAATAAGAAGAAACTTTATTGATCCATGAGGGGAAGTTGGGCCAGAACAACAGCAAAATGGCAAAAGTGTTCATATCTATTAAAAACAATGAGTGATTATATCCATATTAATTATACTGATATAAAATACTCATGAAATAACAGTTTATGAAGAGCACGTGTGTGTTATCTACTGCATCTGGGCATTAGGAAGTAAAAAACAACATTCATCTCATCAAATGTTTTTTGGCTATCATTTTAGGTAGCTACAGAAACTGTAGTTTGTGATGATGGCCAATGCAAGAAGAGAAGTGAATGAAAATGTGAGCAGAGGTGTTTTGATGTTGATTTGAGGGATACAGGAAAGGAAATGTGAAGGAGAAGGCATGAAAAGAGATTGGCAGAGGATGAGATGATGAATCACGATCAGAGGAAAAAGCAAGAAGAGGAGAGAGATGACAAAAAGAGAGCATCAAAGTAGAGGTGATGATAATGTGATGTAATAAGATCCTACAGGTTACACTGCCTATGTTTGTCTGACCCAACAGACCCATCAGGATTAGTAAAGAAACATTTCACCTAGTGTGTTATTTGTGTTCAAATTCGAATAACTGCCATATTGTCTGAAATCACTAGTCAACATTAAGGTCCAACTGAAATTCAACTGTGTATTTTTGCTCTGAAAGATCACATGTTCTATGTTCTTCTTTGAGAATAAAAAAACAAAAAGAACGAATTTACATTATTGGTTTCATTTTATGCCCCCCTCTAGTTTTGCATTAATTGACCATAACTTTGTTGTGGTATCCGTCTGCATATATGGAGACCTTACTTCGATACAGCCAATCAAATCTGGCATTAAGCAGTTACACTGGCCCAGACATCAACTTGCTACACAACACAAGAGTCATAGACACTGACTAAGAACCCAGGTTAGGTTTCCTGTCTCCTGTCAAGCCATCTTCTTATCTAGCTTGAAAACATGATCACATCTTGTTCTGCATCTAAGCTTGTTGAACAAGCTAACAAACAAACAAACAAACATTCACTGGGGAAAAGTGCACCATTAATGTCAGTGCGCAGGTTAGATAGTAAATTAGCTGCAGCACATTAAAGAGCCTGCAAATATCACTTAGGTTGGTGAGATGCTGGTGTGGTCCTACTCTTCAATACCACTGACAACATGCTGTCTGCCCATGACATGTAGGCTATGGTTCCCTATGGTGTAACACTGGGTATAACACTGGTGCTCTCTCGTTCTCCCTACAGTGTAACACTGGCATTCTTTCATTCTCTAACATCAAATTTCTCAGGTTCCCTACAGTGTAAGACCGATTCTCTACAGTTTAACACCGGCACTCTCTGATTCCCTACAGTGTAATACTGGGACTCCCTTGTTCCCTGCAGTGTAACACCAAATTTCTCAGGTTCCCAACAGTGTACAGGCACTCTCTGATTTACTACAGTATAACACTGCCACATTCTGGTTCCCTACAGTTTAACACCCACACTCTTTAATTCCCTACAGTTTAACACCTGCACTCTCTGGTTCCCTATGGTGTAACACCAACATTCTCTGGTTCCCTATGCTGTAACACTGGCATTCTTTCATTCTCTACAGTGTAAAACCAGCACTCTCTCGTTCTCCCAACGGCGTAACACTGGGACTCCCTTGTTCCCTGTGGTGTAACACCAAATTTCTGAGGTTCCCCACAATGTAAGACCGGCACTCTCTGATTTACTACAGTACAGTGTAACACTGCCACACTCTGGTTCCCTACAGTTTAACACCCACACTCTCTCATTCTCTACAGTTTAACACCTGCACTCTCTGGTTCCCTACGGTGTAACAGCAACACTCTCTGGTTTCCTACGCTGTAAACCCAAGATTCTCTGATTCCCTACAGTGTAACATTGGGACTCTCTTGTTCCCTGCGATGTAACACCACATTTCTCAGGTTCCCTACAGTATAACACTGCCACACTCTGGTTCCCTACAGTTTAACACCCATACTCTCCCATTCTCTACAGTTTAACACCTGCACTCCATGGTTCCCTACAGTGTAACACCAACACTCTCTGGTTCCCTACACTGTAACACTGGCATTCTTTCATTCTCTAAGGTGTAACACCGGCACTCTCTGATTCCCTACAGTGTAATACTGGGACTCCCTTGTTTCCTGCAGTGTAACACCAAATTTCTCAGGTTCCCAACAGTGTACAGGCACTCTCTGATTTACTACAGTATAACACTGCCACACTCTGGTTCCCTACAGTTTAACACCCACACTCTTTAATTCCCTACAGTTTAACACCTGCACTCTCTGGTTCCCTATGGTGTAACACCAACATTCTCTGGTTCCCTATGCTGTAACACTGGCATTCTTTCATTCTCTACAGTGTAAAACCAGCACTCTCTCGTTCTCCCAACGGCGTAACACTGGGACTCCCTTGTTCCCTGTGGTGTAACACCAAATTTCTGAGGTTCCCCACAATGTAAGACCGGCACTCTCTGATTTACTACAGTACAGTATAACACTGCCACACTCTGGTTCCCTACAGTTTAACACCTACACTCTTTAATTCCCTACAGTTTAACACCTGCACTCTATGGTTCCCTATGGTTTAACACCAACACTCCCTGGTTCCCTACAGTGTAACACCTGCACTCTCTTATTCCCTACAGTGTAACACCAACACTCTCTGGTTCCCTGCAGTGTAACATCTGCACTCTCTTGTTCCCTACAGTGTAACAGCAGCACTCTCTGGTTCCCTATGGCGTAACACCAACACTCTCTGGTTCCCTACGGCGTAACACCAACACTCGCTGGTTCCCTACAGTGTAAAACCGACACTCTGTGGTTCCCTGCAGTGTAACACCTGCACTCTCTTGTTCCCTACAGTATAACACCAACACTCTCTGGTTCTCTGCAGTGTAACATTGACACTCTCTGGTTCCCTACACTGTAACATCGGCACAGACTGCCAGCTGCTGTCAATCACACACAGACAACAATACACACCCTCTAGCCGGCTGAGACAAAATGATAATTCTTTCTTCCTTTTAATAATAAAAAACATGTTAACATAATTTTTGACTAAATGTTATTTCAGTTGGACTTTAAAGCTGCGACAATTTCTCATTGCATGATTTAAGATAATTATATTGGCTTTCTGTCTCTTAACATCTATGTTAAGAGACATAAAGAAGACTGTAAACTATTTGTAGCACATATGACCTATGAAGAGGATGACCTACAAAAAGCTCAGTGTTCCTTTAAAGCTGCAACTTAATTGTGCATGTTTGTTTTTGGTCTGACTCCTGGAATAATACAGGTGTTTAAAACTCATGATTCAATCTGCATTTTCAGTAATCAGTGGAAATGTTTTTATACAGTTTCATTCACCCTGTAGTCTGTGGGAACCATGACTGTATAAACCACACTGTACGCAACACAAGGGATACACATATAGTGTTTGAGGTTTGATTAAAATGAGCAAAATCTAAACATTTTAACAGCCTAGGTTTCCTCTCTCCTCTACATCTATCATGGTCTCATCAGTCCTAATTAACTAAATGTCAGTTACAGTGAGCTTTATAATTTATAAGTGTTTGGACATTTGTGTATGTCCCAGGCAGAAAACTGCTACCTGGACCACTGCACATTAAGTTAGTGTTTTTCATCTTATTCATTATTGTTGAAACAAACACAATAAGAGGAGGTAATAAGAGGATAACTTGTTTAAATCTGCTGCCTGAGCTTTGCTAAAGCAGACTGTGGTTGGTGTAACAGAGTACTTTCAGGTTGGGAATGAAAGACTATTCTACATATTAATTTCCCTGTTTGACTCACTGTTCAGTATTCATTGAGAAACTGAAATATTCTTGTTCAGACTCATGTTAAAAGTTCACTTAGATGAGGTCTGCTGTATAATACAAGTCCTCTTAAAGATATAAATACCTAAAGGACCCAATGATTTAAAGGGGTCAAATTTACAAATTGCTGCTCAGTATTGCAGTCGAGGCAGAGAGATCAGTCTAACTACAAATGTTTGTCAAGAACAAAGAGTGTGCAAGGAGCGCAGAGACGAATCATTTAATGGAGTCTGAAAACATTTCAAAGCAGATCTATAATATCTGACCTCATACTGTCATTGCTTGGCTCTGTTGTGTGTGTGTGTGTGTGTGTGTGTGTGTGTGTGTTTAAGCTGCTGGTGCTCCTGCCTTCCCATAATAACAGGTTTGTCCCAAAGCTTTTGCAAAGCAGCCACCACATCTCATTCTTTACATAAACAGCAGCTAAAACATGCAGCAAGATAGATTAAAAATAACCATGCTCACACACACGCACACGCACACACACACACACACACACACACACACACGCTCACACATGCTGTAAACCTACATACCAGCGCCTAAAAACACAGTTTCTTGGCATGCGATACACAGACTGCATGTATTCATGTGAGAAGCATGTTACATAATTCATCATCCTATCAGTTCACACCACAGCGACCAACCACAGCCATCATCGAGAAACAAGAGGAGCATTTATTGGACCACAGAGTTGAGAGGTAAAGCCGTTTTCAAAATAAAACACCACCACACACAGAGGGGACAGTTCATGATAGCAAAAGACAATATCTACTTCATTATAAACTCACGTTAACAAAATAGTTTTGTTCACTTTGTACAAAATCCCATTTCGAGTTGAGGAGAAAAAGTGCAGCATGTGCAACATGCTGAAATTCAGATGAAGATGAGAGAATGAAGAACCACAAAATGACACAATGCACAACAGAAAGCCACGACAGACATAAACAGCAAGTTTTATAACTTCCTGAACAGAGGAGGGAACCCTGTCGGCATGCACACAGTTAACATGTTCAGACTGACGGACACGTGGAGAGGACAAAAAATAAAAAAACATGCCCCTTTTGCATTCCAAGGCCATTCTCTGAAGCTTCAGTCGGGACTCTTGTGTTAATGTTCTGCTTATCATGTTAGTCGCTACATATTCAGCACTGTTATTAAAACACCTGTGATGCTGCTGATGTCTCTCAGTTCAAATGTGCTACAGGAAACATGCAGTTGTGTCCTTTAATCTGAAATGAGGATCAGTCATTCACCAGTCTGTTTTAATCACAATCGTCCAATCATAGTGAGTAATACTCCAAGTGTAGTTTGGATGCTGGTTTCTTTTATTTCTACCCTTTCCAAAACCAAAAGAGCATAAAACTGCGAAGAATGCATTAAACAATTTGTTTATCTGCTCAGGTTAGCATGTCTGGCTGGTTATCTTTCTTACCTACAGTAGTAATGCAGCGGTACTTCCTGAGACAAGGCATTTCATACTTCATTATTTTATGGAGTTAAGCATAAAAAACTCTGTTCATGACTAGCACATCCACTGTGCAGTATTTCCTGCTGGCCCTGAATGCTACAATAAGCTAACATTAGCAGCTGCAGTGGATTTGGGGAAGTTTATATTCCTGAAACCATAGCTAATGTCGTTACCTGAGAAAGTGTAATATTTATCAAACACATTGCTTAGTCCTTCTCCCAAAAGCCATTTCTTTATCATACTTACAACAGAAGGAGTGACTAGACTACAAAACATCGCTGTTTCTTTATTTACAGCTTTGCCTCAGACATGTTAGCGTTAGCCTCAATCTATTAGCACAATATCATTTATAGTATGTAGCCATCAAATGCATGTTTAAGACCTCCTAACAGGTTTTGTTTTAAAACCAGTCAGCTGGACGACATTTTCAACCAATCCATGCAGCTGACGTTAGCTTAGTTTGCTAGCAACAGCTGTCATTTAAGCCAGCAAAACTGAAGCGTTTTTGTCTACTAAAACCATTTCAAAATTGGTAAGAATTTCAGGTGGAAAGTCTGCCATCAATATTGTAAGGTGAATATAGACCGAATCTCAATGTTTGTTTATTTTTGGAACAGCTTCTGGGTAGAAAACCCCTGCGTCAGACACATAAAATGGCGCTGAGCAAAAGCTGCCTCAGTTGGTTAGATTTTGCCCACCTAAAATAAAAAATCAATATCACTTTTGATGTACACTATATTTAGAATATCTTAACCACTTTACATTGCTGTCAGACAGCTCTGTGACGGGGAAATGAAGATGAAGACAACATTATTAACCAATTCATGGCACTGACGTTAGCTTAGCTAGCTAGCTAGCTACAGCTAATAAACTCTGCTAGCAACAGCTGCTGGCAAAATCGAAGCGTGTTTGTCTACTACAGGCTGAAACCATTAAAAAATGACTAAGAATTTGTAAGCTGCATGGACCATATCGCAATGCTTGTCTATTTTTCAGAATAGCTTCTGGGTAGAAAACCCCAGCGTCAGGCACATTAAATGGGCAAAAGCTGCCTCAGTTGGTTAGTTTTTGGTCACCTAAACAAAGGCCTACCTAAAAAAAATCAGTATCAGTTTAAGTGTACACTGTATTTAGAATATCTTCTTTACCTTGCTGTCAGACAGCCCTCTCCGACAGGGAACTGAAGCTGTTATCTCAAAACCACCAGGCTCCGCTGACAAAAACACTAATTTTACTTTGCAGAACACGGGAGTTGCTGGTCTACTGTTTCCTCTATCAATCAGTGTTAATGGTAAAGCAGGGAAAACATTTAAAATATAGCATACACTTAAACTGATTGATTGATTGTTTTTTTTTTTTTAGGTGGCTAAAATACATTTTGTTGCAGCCCTCATCCGCATTAGTAGGCTAATTGCTTAGCTTCCGTGCCCAGAGAATTGGTTTATCAAAGACGCTAGCAAGCAACACAGTACATAGAATGAGCACAGCAGAGACCACCGCTAACTTTAAACAATAAAGTTAAAGCTAAAAATGACAAAAGAAATAAGTTTGTCAATCTCCGCAGCTGAGTTATCAACCTGGAAGTGATTGATGTTAGCGTGACGTCACAGTAATTTGGTCTACTGTACAAGAATACAAAGCTTGACAGACCTAACAACAGAACTTAAGCTAGCTAGGCTTTTTACATCACATTAGAGCATTTGCTCTGACTTCTATTTTACACTCTGAAGCTTGACATGGCAATGATTTCATGCTCCTTGTGGTTTATGAAAAGGCCGGACTTGGCTGGAAGGGATGAAAATGTAAAACACCAGTTATTATGCCACTGTACCTTTTCAAAGCCAGAAACAACAGAGCTCTGGTGTTTTTTAAAGGCTTTTGTCAAAGAACAAAAGGCCTAAAATACAGTCTCTACATTCAAGGTCTGACTCAGTCTATGAGTCAACTCATCAAAAGTGCTTTTAACCAGCAGGAGTTTCCAATTAACCTGAGGTCTGTGATTGGATGATTGATGCGTGGACTGACCAGCTGCTGCCCGTCGGGGCTGAAAAGGTCTCACCTCATGAATTTCTTGGGTTCGGTGGGAGGGGTCGGCGGGGGAAGAGGTTTGTTGGAGTTGAGTTCAAGATGGTGAAGGGGGGAGTTGGGGATGGGCTCTAGGCGGCTTGGCTGGGCTGGGGGCGGGGGTGGGGGCTGTGGGGACTGCCCACTTCCTGAACCCGCCACACCCACGCCCATACCCGCTGCCTCCAGAGCCCTGACACTAGGAGAGCTGCTGAATCTGCTGGCTGCTGTTTTCTCATTCTTTTTCTTTTGCTACACAGAAAAAAAAGAAAAGGAGGGGCATGGGGGTCAAAAAAGGAGCAAAAGGGAAGTTTGAAACAAAATCATAATAAAAGATAAGAAGAAATGGAGGGGAAAAAGAGGGAAAATGGAGTACAGGGAGAGCCCTAGAGGTCTTAACAGTCCATCCAGTGAGAGAAAGGAAAAGAGCAGCGTGCTAACTCGATCCTATTTAAATGCTGATCGAGTGAATGGATCAATCTGAAGACTGGCATCACTCAGTCTTAAAGCAGCAGTCGCTCTGAGCAGAATGGAAGTTCAGATGAGGAGAGATGTGTCAAAGCAGGAAACATCTCACACTAACAAAATGGCTTGGAAAGCAAAGGAGAGCTGGAGAAAAAGTCAAGAAGGAAGAACAATCGAATCGGGTGGAGAACTCACACACACACACACACAGTGGACACACAACACATATTCAAATATGTGGGAAGAAACACATGTCACAAGAACGAAAACACTGGAAGTTATAGAACCTGAGAGATGGTGTCAACAGTTATATACTGATCATGCAGCAGGGTCCATTCGACTCAGACATACTGTGAAGAATGACATATTGTGTTTTCCAGGAGCACTGGGAGCTTTAAATTTTCAAACAGCCTTTCATTATGAGCAATGGGATCCTGCTTGAACACACAGTTTTCAAACAGTTTTGGTCATTTCATTTCAAGAGATTCACTTCAATTCTATTTTACTTCAACAAACAGAAAAATCTAGTGAATCAATTGATGTATTTTGGCGGTGCATTGAGTTCAAGATCACGTTTTGAACTGTGACACCTTGGATTAAATGCTGTGAAGAAATGAGACCTTGGCAGGTACGACTATTAGCTTCCATTTCATACCAGTGGTGCTGTATGGAAGCGCATTGCATTCACTGGATAAAAAAAAATTAGACACCTGATCTCGTAATTATGAGATCCTGATCTCGTAATTATGAGATCTTTTCTCATAATTACCAGAAAAGATCTCATAATTACGAGATCAGGATCTCATAATTATGAGATCCTGATCTCGTAATTATGAGATCAGAAAAGGTGCCACATTAGCCACTGCTTTGCTCAGAAACACATACTGCACATCCACGAAGGGGGGTCGGAACTACTGTAACCAACTGCCGCTCGGGTGGTGCCATCTTGACTATATCCCATATCTTTATTATAATGTGTATATATTGGAAATTACGACAGAGTATTACACTAAGCAAGGACAACAGTGCGCACCATATATAGGCTATTTTGATCTATTTTATACTTCAGATTTATATTGTTTAGCATTAATTGGTGACAGAAAAGAACGAATTTCATTCTGCAGGGAAACGCGTGTCCTTACTGTGCATATTGAATCTTGAATCTATGTTTTATGAAGACCCTGTGTGTGCTCAGAGCTGTGGCACAAGTTACGCACCGAAATCTGGCGGAAGAAAAATAATAATAAGACGAAAAATAAGTAGGCTGTGTGTGACATGCGCTGATGAAGTGGTGGGTGATTGATGTGCCTGACATCGATTGATTTAGTTTCAGCACCATGGTAGTGGCCAGCTCCTGTTAAGATATAAACAGAATGAAAGCGGACAAGGTAATTACAGAACTTGTCTTGAGAAATAGCTTTCAAATTCAGGGCTCAACAATAAGGATTGCCTGATTGCCCGGGTCAAGTAAAACTCACGGTCGGGCATGTAAACTAACAACTCACTTGCCTGATTGGGCAAGTTGCTAAAAATAGTAAAAGTTAATAACTAATTGATAAAATAAATGTATTTTAAAACGTGCTCTTCTGCTCTGATGCAGCGGTCTCTCTGCCTGAAGTCACAGGCACAGCTGTGTAACAATGTCCTGCCCACAGCCCCCATTGATACTATTTTGCGCGACGGACGCTTCATATAATAACATAACAATATAATATTTATGGTGTTACGTCATCGTGTCATTTCTGTCTCTACATGGTCACTCGTTAACAATTCTCCTCTGCTCTCTGTATCGCGCACGGCGGAGTTCCGCCACACACACAGGTGATCACGCTAGAGCAGCTCGGGCCGCATTTTCCTAACCAAACCTGACCCCGAGCCCGGTGCAGTTTGTCAGCTCACAAAGTTATTGTTATGGACAGTGTGTAAATAACCATCAACAGACTGCTGTTACGCACAGACAAACACGCTGGCAGCACGGCAGCGCAGCACAGCACTCATGCTGAGCTTGTGTTGCGTTCAGGCGTTGTCACGTAAATAACAACTTCCAGCACTTAAATAGGTCATAGCACAAAACAGCAGCATGTCAAGTGACTTTTTACTTTTATTATATTCAGTACAATTGCATGTTCCTAAATCTTGAGACACCTCATATGTAAGCTAGACAGACATTTCACCTGCTCATTACTGTGCACACATGTACTGTATGTACTTAGTCCTAAAGAGCCCTTCTGGTGCCAGTAGATACATAGAAACATCCCAGCAGGCTGTGCTTTGCAAGCATACAAAAAAGTTTCACGCATGTGAAAATTATTTTTCATGCGTGTGCTTCACCTCCGCTGCTACAACTCCATCCTAGGGGAAACACTGCTGTGTGCGTTTTGTGCAACAGGTGGATGTGGTAGTCTACTGGTAGAGTAGAGAGAGAGCTAAGTAGCGTTGAAATAGAGTAGAGCAGGGCAGAGAGATGGAAGCAAAATATATTAAACCCGGTGTTAATACAGCAGAACTGGAGAGAGGGGTGAAAAATAAATAGAGGTGGGCATGGCATATTTGTGTAGGAATTAAGCTACAATACATGACATATGTTGTTTTAATTAATAAATACAGTGTGAATAAAGATTACATAACATAAAAATAACTGCAGTCTGTTAAGAAACTCTTAACAGGAGCTGGCCACTACCGCGGTGCTGAAACTAAATCAATCGATGTCAGGCACATCGATCACCCACCACTTCAACAGTGCATAGGCTAGTCACACACAGCCTACTTACTTTTCATCTTATTATTATTTTTTTTTTCGCCAGATTTCGGTGCGTAACTTGTGCCACAGCTCTGAGCGCACACAAGGGTCTTCATAAAACATAGATTCAAGATTCAATATGCACAGTAAGGACACGTGTTTCCCTGCAGAATGAAATTCGTTCTTTTCTGTCACCAATTAATGCTAAACAATATAAATCTGAAGTATAAAATGGATCAAAATATATACGGTGCATACTGTTTTAATATCTCCTTGCTTAGTGTAATATTAATGTGCCTGCCGCGGCTGGATTTGTGAACGTTTGGTGGCTAAGAAGACTGTTAAGAGTGGGTCAGCTCGAGCCATTTGACTAAAGCTGACGTTATTACTGCTGTAGCATGATGTTATTAGGCTAAATATTACATTTCTAACAGTGTCTGAGCTGATTTATTGACTCAGCATGCTTGTAGGCTGCTGTAATGTTGGGATGTGACTTAATCGTGTGAAAATATCGTTAGCGTTAACAAGCGTTAGTTAGGGGACAAGAGTCAAGAGTCACAAAGACTCACGTAGGCTATGTTAAAAGTTACCTACAACCGGTGTATTTACTGTAGGCTATGTGTCCGGGCTCCTTCACCTGTGGAACGAGTAACGTGACCACTAACTTGTCCCCAAACGAACGCATGTTTCTGTGAGGCCTATGTGTTTCACTAACGTTCTTTATGTATTATGAAGGATGTCAGACTGGCCAATCAGTGGCAGAGCTGGGCCCGGAGTCACAAACAGCGCATTTCAACTGACACAGAACCAAATCGTCAGAACACCGGCACGGTGCCGGTTCCCGAACCTAATTGAGTAGGCTACTTAGAACGGCATGAAAGACAATCTGATATTCTGTTTGTTGTTGGTTATTTCCTTAAAAAACTACGACTTTATTCTCGTAATATTATGACTTCAATCTCATTAAATAAAGACTTTAATCTCATAATTCGACTTTACTCTCGTAGCCTAATATTATGATTTTTTCTCAATTATGACTTCATTCTCGAAATCTCCGAATTTTTTGTTCTTCAATGTGGCCCTAATACTCCGTCGTAATTTCCAATATATAGGCTACACATTATAAGAAAGATATGGGATATAGTCAAGATGGCACCACCCGAGTGGCAGCTGGTTACAGTAGTTCCGACCCCCCTTCGTGTGGTTCTGAGCTAAGCAGTGGCTAATGTGGCACCTTTTTTAATTATGAGATCCTGATCTTGTAATTATGACATCTTTTCTTGTAATTACGAGAAAAGATCTCATAATTATGAGATCTTTTCTTGTAATTACAAGAAAAGATGTCATTAATTACGAGATCAGGATCTCGTAAGGTGTCTAATTTTTTTTTATCCAGTGAATGCAATGCACTTTCGTAGTGCTGAAAGAACACCACGTTTCCTATTAATCCTGTTGGTTCCTCTCCTCTTTCACCGTCCTTGGAGGCTTCACTTGAATTAAAAACAGTAAACTTGTTAAAATTGATTTTTTTCCCAATTTTCTCTCCAATTTTCCATTGCCCTTTTATCACCTGCCACTTGCTGTAAAGTCTGTGAGTTTTCACTGGAACATCTTAATCCTGTCTTTTGCTGTAAAACACCTTCCCTTTGTGTTGTTGCCTTATAAAACAGTGCAGCAGATCACCCTGGAACACTTGGGTCAAAGCTGACAGTCTCCTCCAAAACGGTCTCATTTGTTGAAACAGCAATTGGGGATAATATTTGAAAATTACTGTGATCATGATTTATGGTTGTTACAATGCCAACGGTACCATTTTATAAAACGTCAGTACTGATTGTTCTTCCTATCGATCAGCACTGATGGATGTGAAATGGGATGGAGTGGATATCATCTTTGCTATGAATTAAAAATAAATCGACAGGCTCATCAGAGTGCCCCTGTGTGTGGTGCGTTCCAGGACGTCAGGGCCTTACCTTAATGAGCGGGTTGATAACTCCTACGTTAGGACTGGCGTTGAACACTTTGTTGAAGTTGGTCTCCCTGTTGACGAGTTCCAGCTGGTAGAACTTCTTATCGTCCTGGAGGAGGAAAACCATGTGAGCTGACGGGAGACTCGAGGGACTGTGAAAACAGTTGTTGTGTATATCCAATCTGTCAAAAACAAAAACTTGTGCTGCTGCATCTAAAAGCTAAAAATAAACCAGAGATGGAGTACTTTCCTTTTCACACCTCCTGCTGTATATTGCACACACATTACCTCATCAGCCTTTACCTACCACCAGTTTCTTGACTAGAGATTCTCTCTCAGACACCATGTCCTTAAGCTCGGCGATGAGCTGCAGATCTTCAGGACGACTCTCCCTGTTCCTGAACTTTTCCTCTGTACCCTCCAGCCTGTAAGAAAAAAAAAAACAGAACCATAAATACTCTGCATCACAGATCCACTGAACACCATTCAGGCTTGGATATCTTATGTAAATACAATCGCAGTGTTGGAATGTAACTAAGTACATTTACTCAAGTACCGTTCCTAAAGAAAAATGTTGCTGATTTTCAACCAGCTCTGTATCATAGTGTGTGCAGATGAACCCTCGACCGCCAGTGCCTGAAGGTGCTCATTTGCTGGCAGACTGCTGGAAATCAAGGCTTTTGCCTCACCCAGCAAACCTTTCCAAGTGGATGGGCTAGAAGCTCCAGGTGCTGGTGGTGTTGCTCGCAGCTCGTTCAATACACTTTGGACTTGAAGCCAGCAACACTGTGTCTGCTTCATTTCTTTCTATCTCCCCTTACAGGTAAGAACAATGGCTGTAATATGTTCAATAACTGTGCATGCATGTTTTGTGAGTTACAAGGAATGCACTGGTGGTAAATATCTGTGTCAAAAGCACCTTTAGCAAGTGAATATAGTTAGCTGAAACACTAGAGTGTAGACTCATTTTGACTTGGCCAGCGGACTTCACTACAAGCCAACTGGATGACTGCACAATGAGTACTTTTAATTTTCATAATCTAAATACATTTAGCTGACTTACTTGTTTCCGAGGGGAAAAACCCAAGTTATGTTTGCAGTTACATTAGTGTAAAATACGTAACATCAAATGTTAACTACACATCAAAAAAGGGCAGAAGTAAGAGCAGGTGAACTCGTTAGATCTTGCACTTTGTAGTATGTGTGTATTAGATGGAACCGTTAATGGGTTAAGAGAATTAAAAGCATGTACTACAGGGAGTAAAAAAAGATGAGTGATTCATGGGCTCTCCTTTTTCATTAGCTTTTGATCAATAAAACAGTAATTGTTCCCGGTCCCTTCCCCTTTCCTGCCCTCTTCTCCTCTCATCACAAAAGCCATTAAGGGGGTTCGTATGTTTGAATCAAAAAAACAGTTCATCCGGAGGTTGTTTTTGTTCTGTGAGTTATGAGAACTTTCAAAAAAACGTTATAATGGATTTTTGTTATTTTCCAAGCGGCCCCCTTTAGAGAAATCACCACTTGTGTAAAACCTCCGATTCATTTTATATTCGGTGACATTTTCCAAAATGCAACACACGTTAAAGATCGCTGAGCAGAATGGGCATTAGCCGGTTCTTCAAGCGAAAAACAACCAATCATAGGTGACACCGTCAGCTGGAAAATGACTCATTTTTTTAAAAATTGTGATGAAAAGACAGAGAAAGCTTCTGAAAGCCTTTATCTGGCAACAGCAGCATGTAGTTTAGAGAAGTATTGCGCTGTAAAAAGTTTTTCCGTTTCAGGAAATTGTCTTTTAAATGTGACCAACACACAAGATATGATGAAAGTCATCATATCGTTGTGTCAATCTCATGATCTCATACATAACTGTTACCAGAGTGTGTACTGAGCAAGTTTGGGGCATCTATCTAATTACAGTGCTGCAATTTTTCGTTGTGATTAAAAATAAATGTTTAATTTGGAGGACTCTGTTTTCCTCTGAGGTCAAAAAATACAAGTTTAAATTAAACAAGAACAAACACAAAACTGTGAAAATTAAACATTAAAACAGCCACTGACTTCAGCTACAAGCATCACTTTTGGCTGTAAAGCTGGTCCCCTGCATGTTTAGCTGTGACTCTATTTCTAATTTTACCAAAACCTTATGTGACAATGAGCTAAACAGCCTTTCACTTCCCACGCTGGCACAGTACGAGCCACTGAGGGGTATCTTTGTGACATTTATGCCACAGTGTGAAGTCACACTTTCGTAAAGGCCGAACATCATGGCAGCTTGTCTTCCAGATAAACTGCGGCCTCTCCAAGGAACGTCCAGTGCTGTACAGGAGCAGCCACTGGAGCACTGCTCAGTGATACTGATACATACTGATCTGCACTTTCATCAGATACACTGTCTGCTGCTGTGCTGGTCCTTCTGTGCTCACTCTGACAGCTGTTTTATTGTATTCCTCCTGTTTATCAGACACTTTCTGCAGCTTGAGCATCAGAATCTTTTTCTGTGCTCTGGCTGTGAACATGTTTAACAGGAACGGATCGTTATAAAAAAAGAGAAGGGAACATGTTAGGTTAAATTATGAGTGCAAATGTACAATCACTTGCATTACTTAACTGCTTAAAGCAGTATTAAGTTTTTTTTTTTTTTGGGGGGGGGGGGGGGGGGGGGGGGGGGGGGGGGGGGGGGGGGGGGGTCAGATGCTCTTTGGAAGCAGAAAAAGCTGTGAAAACAATATTAATATTTTATCATATATTAAGTTTGGCCAAACATGTTAGCATACAGTTTTCTATTTACACATTTAGTGGACATGAATAATAGACATATCTGAGCTTTTTTATTCACCCGCTTGGATTGTTATCAGCACATTTAATGCTTGTTATCTGTGTTAACAAGCCTCATAGATATGATTAAGAAGGGGTCTGCTACACCTACCGCCCTGGTTATCAACCTATTCAATGATCATTACCGGTTTGTTAAGCTTCACTTTCATGTTCATCAGGTTAAGGTGCCAAATCAACATGGTTAGGTTTAGAAAAAGATCATCATTGGGTGTAAATATTGGTTTTGCATAGACTCAAACCCCTGTCTGCTGAGTGAAAGCCCTGTGTCCATCTACCACCCTTCCACCCCCAATCATTATGTGGACTTTCTCCCATGTGGGAAAGAGTCATGAAAGCCTTTCCTGGCAGAAAGTTTCACTTCATGGTCTGATAATGGCCTTCTCAACCTAACAGTAGGTGTGGCAGGCATCTCCTCATGCATATTTATGATGCTTATCACCACTGATATCGGCCATTTAATGGCCTGATAATAATATAATCAGCTGTTTTGGTTTTTTTTTTTTGCTAAAATTGACTGGAATTATGACAGAACAACACTTGACAGAAACAATAAAGTTGCAGGTTCAAAAACCAAAACAATGAGCTCATAGATGCTAAAAGAGGACCTGTAAGCTAAGAACTTTTCTGACAGTACACAATGAGTGGGGCAAACTCATAAAACCTACATCCGTAGCAAACTTTAGAAAATAAATACAAATGGAAAATGGAGACAAGAAAATAATCTATGAACCTACATAACACCCTACAGATAAAGCAGAGATGGGAAGCAGAGATGAACACGGTCATATCACAGGACATTTGGAAGGAGGTATGCACTGAGGCGCATCTGGTCACAAATTCCAACACATGGAGGGAATTTAATTTGAAAATAATAATTAGATTTTTCAGAATACCAGAAATAGTATCTTAATTGGACACATTCTAGCTCATGTTGGAAAAAAGTGTGGAACATGCACTGCCAATATATTTTGGCAATGTCTGAAGTTAGGTTTATATTAGAGAGAGGTAATTGATGCCCTTAAAGAGGTCTTTCAACAATATATTTCACAAAGCCCTACAGTAATACTACTGGGTGTTATCTCTGAAAGTCTGAATGTGAGGGATAAGAACTACCTCTTACATATATCAGTTACAGCAGCCTTTATGTATATAATGTATAACTATCAGATGGCTAAAAACCAGACCCTCCCACATACACTAAACGGATCTAAAAAGTCTGGGACCGCTATCTGATAAATCAAATTACATACTCATTAAGATTCAAAAATCTGAATTTACTAAATGTTGGAGTCCAAAACTTTTACATTTATACCCCCCCCCCACNTTTGTCCAACATAAGGCAGCAAATGAGTAGTAATGCAAGACTGGGTGTTTCTCCACCCCAGAAAACAAATTGCCTGTAAGTGATGTGCTGTTTTAATCTAGCTGATTTGTTCAGTAAACTTCTCACATGGAAGGAAGACAAATAATATCTTCTTTAGTAAAATTCATTAGTTCATGATCGGATTTAGAGGGCTCTTTTCTGCTTGATGTAGTACATGTTGTTCCAGCGGGTATATATATATGTGTATATTTTTGTACCAGCTGGTTGAACTGTGGGTGAATTTCCCTGGGGCAGAAGCACACTGAGGCCAATATTAAGTGTCCAGCTATTTTATGCCTGACTGCCAAAGCATCAGCAACCCTTCACTGGGCAGGGAGACCCTCTGCCTCACCAAGTATCAGGGAGTGCAGTGTGACCAATGGCATTCATCATATGTTTGGGTATTTTTGTCTATGCTCACAGGGAGAGAATATTTCCAGGGTTTGGACAAATGCACCTGCTGTTCCTCGGTTTATATGCAAGCCATCAAACTGATTTTCTTCAACACAACCTGCAGGGGGGGAATCCACATCCATCCTCTGCATGGTTAAGCTGATAAGAGATACTGGATGGACACTACTGCTCCAAATGTCAGCAATAAAGCTGCACCAAGACATGGTTTTTCAGGAAGTAGTTCATTTTTTGGGTGAAGGTGGTGTCTGTGATAAGACGATGATTTGGAGTTTCAGGGCGCTGGACTTTAATAAATCCCCAAACTGACAATGACTGATGGTCAAGGAAAGTGTTGGGTAAGTACTCCTGTTATCTTCAGCACCTTCTGGTCGTATTTTGTCATTTTCCCTCATTGCTGCTGCTGCTGCTGCTGCAGTTAGCATTAGCAAACTCAGTGGACTACATATTATGATTTTATTACATACATGATGCTCCTCTTTTTCCAGCCAAAACAGTGACCTCAAAGAACACAAACCCTAACTGTACGATATATGTCTAGTGGTGGGTGTTGCAGTGTAAATTCAATTAGCACATACAGCGAGCAGCAGCAGCGACCCACAGTCCGACACCAGCACACCGTTAGCATGGAAACAGAGGGTTTTGCAGGGAAGCTAACACGCCATCTACTTCTACTTCACTACAAGCCAACTGGATGTTGAAAGAGGTTACCAGCCTCATGTTCTAAAACCAACTGCTGCCGATTTGACCAGCTAAGTTGCAGGTGACACCATCAGCTGGCTTGAGTCAACCTCAGACGGTCAGTTCAAAACT